CTTCAGGTGTGTAGTCTTTAACACTGCATTGTTCAGGTGAGATCTATATCTTTTTTGCATGACTGACACGCTGTACCTAGCATTGTCCATGTTTGGCAAGATTAAGGCTATTTTCCCTTGTAGTACAGTATACTGCAGGGTTGTAAAATGCTTCCCTGGGCTAACTATGTGGGCGTTTGTTACTAATCATTAGTCTAATGATCATTAGAGTTTGATTACAGGGATACAAATGGACCAGATATTTTTAATTACTCGATCATCTTTGCTGTTTTTGGAAACTGGCTCAAGAAAATATTAAATGAACTGCATAAGTTACTTAAAGATATATGAACTGTTAAATTATGATATACTTTTATGTAAATTATTTGAATTTGATTTGGCGAGAAACATTTGTTAAAAAGAAACACTGTTACCCTCTGAATGATGAAACCATGCCCTTCAGTGCAATAGAACTTAGCAACAGTCAGCATTGCTTGACAACGGGTATATATTCAAAAAAAAAATTGTGACTGCGCGTAATCTATGCATGCACGCTTCACCTTTCTTTGTATATAAAACATTCAGTATAATATGATAAATACTGCATGTAGTTGAGGGTAACATTGAAAATTTTCATTCCAAGAAAACCATTCTCAACTGAGGCGCACAGGAAAACCGAATGTTGTCAACTGAGGTGCAGCCGAAAATTTTCAATTACCCTATTCATATAATAACGCTTTGATCTTACTTTTTTCAGGAGAGTGGTACAGTACATTCTGATAATTGAATATCATTTTTTTATTTGCTATGTATAAATGAATCCTTCACATTTTGAATCTCTGGTAGATTCTTGCATTTATTGTAGTAGAACTGGTCTCTATAGAACTTAAAAGTTCATGTAAAATCTGGAGTGACTGAATTAAAAGTGGATGGAAGGAACTTGGGTCCTTTTCTTTATTCCTAGCTTCCATGCAGTTACCTTTTTTGTTTTAATTGTTCCTGATCAGGAAACTATTGTAGATCACCCAATTTTTACAAAACATTATTTTTATGAGATACTTATTTAGTATTTATAAAGGAGACCAAATTTTTACATATTTTGATTCCTGCTGTATATAATCTCTTTTATAAAACAAATATATGCAGGAGAATAAAATTTTTATAAGCAGACAGCCTCTTGTAATTACATGAAATAAAGTTCTTGCGAATAAAAAGTGATCTATGGTATTAAGGAGAAACATCTTTCAAGGGAAAACCAGTTACAATGGTAATGACTTCAAGAACAAGGACTTTCATATCGGATTTAATTTGACTGGCTATAGATTACCAGAAGACCTGATACTGATAGAGCAATGGCTTAAAGGGCAAAGGGTCCATGGATCAAATCCCCGTTGACTCCGTGAATTTTATATTTCCTAGCTATTAATTAGAAATAAAAGTAAAATGGACAAAATTCTGCATAAATTGTTTCTTTTCAATTTTTGCTTAGACTAATAACTGCAGATATTGATTTTTATTGATTACAGCTATGGCCCTTTCAGAATTTATCCAAAATTGACATAATCTAGATATGATTTATTTAAAGAACCACACAGCTAGGTAAGGAAACATTGTGACATTTAAACTCAAAATGTTTTCTTAGCATAAGTTATTACCAAAATTCAGGCCTGGGTGAATTTTTAAAGGTTACTTGTACAAGTAATACATTCATAATAGGTTATTGTGTTACCAGACCATTGAACACATTAAGACCAATTATTGAATTATAATGCTGCTAGTATATGGCTGTTTAAATTAATTTTTAAACTTGGTGATGTAGTGTAACAGAGATTGGGTTGACTACAAGGTCAGAGCTTGGACAAGTTTCTTCTGGTCTGTATTAAGAGTACACTGAAGTGAAGTTGAAATATGATATCACACAGAGACTATTTAATGTTGTGCATATTTAGGGCTATGAACTATTGTACGATTAAGTTGTGATCCGTTGTGATATATTTAGACAATACATGGCCATTTAAATGTGTTTGGCTGTGTGTATTAAAGAATTTTTGTATTTCATTTGGATGTTTTGGCTGTCTCCTAGTGCAACTATGCAGTCAGGGGACGATCTGGAACTCGTACTGTGAATGTACGGTCCTCAAAGTGATGGTGTTTTGTTTGGGTCAGTATTTGTTGTGTCTTATTGTTGCATTTTAACGATATAATTATCATATTTGAGAAGTTTGCTCATATGTCACCTTTTTTGTTTTCAGTTTTTAAGTTTTTAGGTAAATTACAATAATATTTCTGAAGTAGATCTTTGTAATTTACATGTATTTTATTGTTAAAAAATGTCCAACAATTAAAATACAAATAGAAAAAATATAACCATATACATGTATAAACACTGTATAATACTAACTAATATGAAGCATAGATTTATTTCACTAGTGTTTTATTTGATGATATTATAATAACACTTTTCCTGAATTAGTACAATAATTCAAAATTTGATACTCACTACAATATTTGCGATGTTTGTAATTTTTAGCTATTCAATTAATTATAAGTTTTAAAGTGATTCAGGTAACAATTTAAAAGGTACATTTCATGTTAATTTTCCAGATAAACAAAAACCTAATATTTAAAAACTCTTGTATGAAGTAATTTATTTTATTGGCATAGATTAGTTGGATTGTTAGAACATGAAACACAAATGTCATATAGACTAAAAAAGAAGGGGGGAGTTTGAAAGGGGATGATTTTTAGGATTTTGGGGTGCAATATTTCAGTGTATGTAATTATACAGGTATAATTGAAAAAACCATTGCAGTTTTGATATACCTAGCATTCAATCAACATTTACTATTAAAAACCTGTTTTAAAAAGGAAAGATATTCATTGAGAGAGATCTTGATATTATGTATATGCACAAGAACTTTATTTGTTGTACATTAAATCAAAAAGTGTGTTTAAGTTCCTAGTATCTGATTTCAAAACATTGTGTGTCTCTTCTATAAGATAATATGATATTTAAAATGAAAGCAGGAACATTTTAGTGATTTTATTTATAGATGCTCGGACAGGACTTTATGATATTTATAAAGCTTCAAATTGATTTTTAATTTTTAAAAACAGGTAGATTTGATCTTTAGATTATGGCACAAATTGCTGTAAATGTGGACACATATTTGCAATATTGACAATTGACTAATAATCATCAATGTTTCCATCTGTCAATTTTCTGATTGTCAGAAAAAGAGAAACTCTCAGACTGTCAAAGTTTCCACCTGTGAAATTACTTCTAACCCCTCAATTTATAATCACACTTGCAGACATTTACAGTATTCGAATCAGACTTATTATATGCCCCGCTTGAAAAATGGGGGATATTGTTAGTTATAAAGACACTTACAGGGATAATACAGAAATATATGGGGTCCTTGAAAAAATGCATATTGGGCGAGGCGTAAGGGGTGTCTTTCGATATGTCTGTAACACTTGAGGCTAGCCATCCTTTATCTGCAACTCCGCTGAATGCAATTGAATGAAACTTTCACAAAATCTTTATTACATTGTGGCATTGTGCATCTCCTGATTTTATGCTTTGATTGAACACATTTTTGGGATTTCCCGTAGCATTGCTGTTTCTCATTAAATGTTATTCAGTGGTATAGGAAGATAATCTTCCTATACCACTGAATAACATTTAATGAGACTTTTACAGAATCTTTAATACATCATGTACATAGTACATGTACCATTGAGCACCTCCTATTTTTATGTTTCAATCAGAGAGATATTTGGGGTTTGCCAGAGGAAAACATGGACACTTTTCACTTTTTCTATAATATTGTGGGTATACTCATCTTTTACCCGCAACTCCTCCTATACCACTATAAATAAAATTTTATGAAACTTTCACCAAATCTTTATTACATAATGGCATTATACATCTTGTTTTAAATTTCAGTTGGACACATATTTGGGGTTACCCATAGCAAAACATGGACACTTCTATTCTTTCTATAATATTGGTGGTAACCATCTCTTATCCACAACTCCTATATCACTGAGTAAAATTTAATGAAACTTTCACAGAATCTTTATTTCATACTGTGCCATGTTCTGATCAGACAGATATTTGGGGTTTGCCATGGACTTTGCCATTAGACTCGCATTGGAGAGGGGGTATCATTTTGTAAGCCTGCATGGTGCTCACAGTACCTCTAGTTTTGTTTATGACAAAATTACACCGTATTAGTCTTGGATCTGGACCAGATGAGCAATGTTTTTTTAATTCATGAAAATCTCAAAACCCTCCAGATTTCTGTAGTTTACATGCCGTTTCCAGACCTTCAGTTCGCTAGCACAGGTTGGCATATTACTGCCTTAGCTATTATATTGATACTAAATCTGACTATCTCTTTGATGTCTAAATGCAGAGAACTTCAAATTTCCAATTAACTAAAAAAAAAAGTAAAGTCTCCTTTGAAGTTCTATATCATATATCTTTGCATGATGAGATGGTGTTTTTCTTTGAAATTTGTCGTTATGGTAATGAGTGTGTTTAAATTAAAAAAGAGTCAAAGTGAGAGGATCAGGGTGATGGGAGGAGATTTTGTAGATAATGAGGTATTGTTGTGGCTCAAGGGTAGGGTATTACAAGGAGACTTAATGCACATAGTATTAATAAATCAATGACTTACGGGGGGGGGGGGGGGGGGGGGGGGGGGGGGGTCAAGATATAAGAAGAAATTTTTTTCTACCACACAAAAGGAAAAAATAAAGTAGCATTGGGATTGTTTGTATGTGCATGCATGACTGTTTGATTTCAAATACTAAATGAAATTTACATGAACTATAGGAGAAAAACAGTACTATTGAGATATGTGTGTGCATGCAGTAGATTTCATGTGGTACCGTAGCGTAAATCAACTTTACTTATCTTTAGGGAAAAAAAGACCCTTCATCTGAAAGATTCGAAAATCATAGATTTACAGGATATATGATGTATATTGATTGTCATTGTTTTCTTTCAGGTGTTTGGATGAAGAAGTGTTAATTTTTCAACACTACACATCAAACTGAGTTGATAATTGGATCTTTTGCAGTTGTGATAATTGAGTCGCTCACTACGTAAAGCAGTAAGTCATCAATGTAAAGGATCAGTTTTACAAAAATGTCTGGGAGCTTAATAAATAACTTGGATTCTGTGTCGAGGGTATAGAATTATGAAAGACATCAGTGAGATGCCCAATGGTGATGGAGGATTTGTACAAGACGGAAGAGAAGAAGAGGAGAGAGCCAAAGAACGTAGACTAACACCGTACGAAAGGTTGTCAAACGATTTATCCAACGACCAAAAATGTCTGAAGGAAATCACTCTCGGAAAGAGGATTGGATTTTATCGGATTCGAGGAGAACTCGGAAGTGGAAATTTTTCTCAAGTCAAAATGGGCATTCATGCACTAACAAAAGGTAGTCTTTACTTCTTCTTCAATGATGGTTAATTGGTCTGTTTTATTGATTATACTGCTTGTGTCGTGCAGTGTATTACGATGGGCAAGAGGTATGTACCTAGGTCAGGTATGACTTATTGTCCATTCAGTAGAATTACTGAATACTGATGATGATTTTTATTAACTCAGTAAATGTACTCGTGGTCACTGGTGTGATAAATTCTTTATTCTATCATGCAAAAGTTAACACTAATGAATATGGCCGGAAGGTCGTGTGTGAAAATTGGATCCTTGCTAATACATTAAATACATATAAAGATCAGATTTTTAATCAGTATTGAATTAACCATAATGATGATTATTGGTCATCATATTGAGATCTAATTACTTATTAGAATTATTTAAGCTATTGGATGTTTTTTGGGGGGTGGGGTGGGGTTGGTTTTGGGGAGGGGATAATTTCCCCTCAGTATACTTAAGGGGTACCACTGGCAGTTGATAAAGCAAACCCCTACCTCATACATCGATATATTTATAAAGACTTTAATAGTTGATCTGTTCGTATAGGTATCTATTAATTTGTATGGAACTATTTCACTTATTCAAAATGATGGATAGGGAAGACATTGATGCCAAATTTTAGTTGCACTCATTGCTGCATTTGTAATTCCAACATGATGAAAATGATAATTGATATAAACAAACTGTGTAAATATGAGTTAGTGAGTACTAGATTGCATTGAAATATAATCTATGATAAAAAAATTTAATTATACATGCAGAATTTAATTATACATGCAGAATTAAAAAATAGACAACCCCATCATATATTTGATTCCTTGCAGTTGATTTAATTTACTAGTGAAGTACTTTAATTAGCCAATCAGTGAAATTCATTGGACTGGTGCTATTTTTCGACCAGAACTTAAATTATACATATGCATGTCAAATGTACACTATCATATGTCGAAAAATAAAATTAATACCGGGTACTTTTAAATTTTAACATTAAAATTAAAGTTGCTTAATTGTTCAAACCTGTTGATTAATTTCTTTTTCCTTTGCGTCATTTGTATTTAATTTACAGATATATGTATGACACAATTTGTTTTTTGATTTCAATAGAGAGATGGATAACAGGGGCAAAAAGAAAATGTACTAACAAAAAATTTGATGTTTTGATCTAGATTATGGAATTTATTTCACTCATGAGACAGGATTGTTTTAATAAGGCCAAAAAAAAAATAATAGTCTTGTTTCCTGCAACCTGACCAACCCTATTTTTTTGCGCCCGACCCTAGAGTTTTTTTTTTGTTTTGGAAGAAAAAAAAATTTGAGGAATTTCTAGAATTTCATCATTCTGTCACTGTAATCGGTTTCCATGTTAACACAAAACAAGCATTTCATGAAATTTGATATTGTATTAGTTCATTTCCAAAAAATGCCGTCGAAAAAAATTAAAATAAAATAATTTTCCTACCTACCCTATTTTTCAGGCTGGTAGAAGGAAACAAGACTTCTTTTTTTTTGGCCTAACTTTATTTGTGCTTGGTACTCGTAAAAATTTTTTTTTTTTTAAATTCTATCTTACAAGTGAAATATTTTTTTTTATCAAACTACAAGACATGGAATATCCTCATTATAAATATATAGGCAACACCCAACTCTACATCCACCCAGTGATTTTTGATGGTCGTTAAAATTCCAATGTCTTAATACAATATGATCTGAAGTTTTGTGTTTTGTTGTCTAACCTGTATATAAATGTACAAAATGTTACAGTAACTCAGGTCTTCTAATGCCAAGACTGCAGAGATCAGTTACTAGTATAAATTTCTAAAATTATAATGAATACCTAGCTTTTCTTAACTACCTTCCTGGATCTTTCCAGCAAGCAACTTTGGATATGTTTTCCAAGCTTGCCAGAAAGGCCAAAAAAAAGCAATTGCTACAAAACAGTACCACACTGGAATATTTTAAACTAGGTGCTCATTGGATCTACTGATCTTTTATTTTTCGCCTCAAAATTGAAATTACAGTATTAAACCACAGAATGCTTTTAAAAAGCACAGTTATAATGAGTTAAGCCATTGCCAATGTGAATCCCACTCTAGATTCATCACCATTCTGAATTGAGATCCAATACCCAAGACACCGCCCCAGCTGCACGATGAATGTGCCTTCCTATTAATAATAATTAATTGATTCAGCAAATTAAACCAATGGTTCAGATATATCTACTTCTGTGTTTTATGATGGCTACAATGCTAGCTCACCTATCTTTCTAAGAGATAACCTTGTAAGTATACCTTAGTACTTGTCCTTTATTTGCTGGCAACAAGGTTTTTTCCCAAAATCAGCCAAAAAAAAAAGACATGGATTCATAATGAACTGTTTTAATTAAAGATGAAAATAATTTTTTTAACCATGATGAGTTTTCTAACCAGTAAAGATGAAAAAATCATCATAAAAAGGTATGTTTCACAAGCCTTCCTCATTAAAAATACTGCTCTGTAATATCATTAGTTGTCAGCAGAATCCAGAAGGAAACCTATGTAAATTAAAATATTCTTTTTTACATAAGATTTTTGTTTAAGGATGACACTAAAACTACCCGACCCTAGGAACCAAGGAAAGGGGGAAGGGGGGGGGGGGGTTATCCCAATCAATAATTTTGTCAATATTGCAAGCATTACAAATTAATATTATTAAAGAAAACAAAACTTAAATTTTTGGTTGTGTTCCCTTAGTAACAGACTTTTTATTATTAGTATTGTGGGGATTTCTAGGAAGTCACATAGTAGGTGAAATTGGATTATATATATATATGTAACAAATGGATTATAAACAGTTTTTCTTGAAACATGGAAAAAGGGATGTATTCAGTATCTAAACCCTTACAGATAGGAAGGAGTGATATGACAAGTATTTCCAACTGTTTTTATACTGCACTTATCTCAGGTTAACCAACATGTTTTGTGTCCAGCTAAGATGAGGTTCTAATGGCCTCATAGTGCTGATGAAGAAATATGTGCTAATCAGACAAAATGATTGTTTATTCATGGTTTTGCCAGAGTTATCACAATGTTTTGACCCATTCATTTATTCCAGTACATTCATATGTAGCTATCAATTACTTCATTGTACTTATTTAGGGAAGAAGTAATGGTAGTGTATGAATTAATAATCCCTAACCTGTCTACATATAGTATGTACTGAGAGAGCAAAACTTCAGAGCTCTTAATTACCATGATATACTATTTATACCACATACAAATGGCCATTGTTCAATACCCTATGACATAAAAAGAATACACACTTGATATATTAGTTTCAAATTTGTGGAAAATTTATATATCAGATTATTCTCATGAATGTCTGATCAGAAGTTGTGAAGGCAAGAAATTCAAGCTAGGATGAATTTCATTGATTTAATACTGCATCTCAGAAAAAATTGTGTCCCTATGATATAACTTTTTTTTAAAGAAGGTAATGAAATGCAACCTTTCTAACTTACAAGTTGAACTGCAATTTATTGTGATTCATTAAACAGTTTTAGTCATTTTAAAATGAGCATTTTTTATAATTTGTACCTATTTGTTTTAAATTATGTTATCTAGTGTATGATCTATCAATATTGTACTTATTTTTCTATATTTATTTATTATTTTTAAATCCCCCCCCCCCCAATAGGAAGGGAAGAGCATTCATGTCATGAGTATAAATTTACATTCAAAGCTATGAACCATTTATAAAATTTTGCAATCAAGAATTGACTCATTCCAACCAATTAGTTGGTGATATCAATAGTACTAGTATTGCCTCCCTCCTTATTTGTTTCATGAATCACTCTTGCTTCTGAATTACTACAACAGATTCGTTGCCATGATGCTTGTACAGTAGTCAACAGATTTGTTGCCATGATATTTGTATTCAAATGATTTGTTGCCATGATATTTGTAGTCAAGTTATTTGTTGCCATGATGCTTGTACAGTACTCAACAGATTTGTTGCCATGATATATGTATTCAAATGATTTGTTGCCATGATATTTGTAGTCAAGTGATTTGTTGCCATGATGCTTGTACAGTAGTTGTTGCCATATGATAGCTGAGGTTAAATGATTTGTTGCCATGATGCTTGTAGTCAACAGATTTGTTGCCATGATACCTGAGGCGTGTTCAACAGCGCTCACGAACATTTCTGTTGGAGGTATAAGGAATCTGGGCAAGCGCTCGTGAATGTTTGCTCTGTTGAACAGGCCTCTGAAGTTAAATGATTTGTTGCCATGATACTTGTAGTCAATAGATTTGTTGCCATGATACCTGAAGTTAAATGATTTGTTGCCATGATACTTGTAGTCAACAGATTTGTTGCCATGATACTTGTAGTCAATAGATTTGTTGCCATGATACCTGAAGTTAAATGATTTGTTGCCATGATACTTGTAGTCAACAGATTTGTTGCCATGATACTTGTAGTCAATAGATTTGTTGCCATGATACTTGTAGTCAACAGATTTATTTTGCCATAATACTTGAAGTCAATTGATTTGTTGTGAGTGGTCAACAGATTTATGTTGCTTTGATACTTGTTGTCAACTGATTTGTTGCCATGGTACTTGTTGTCAAAGTTCTGATTTTTTTGTTGTTGCAGTCATCTGATTTGTTGCAAGGAATTACTTGTTCTCCTGAAGTTTGCACCATTAGCCATCTGATTTATAGCTGTTATTTTTGAAGTTGACTGATTTTGTTGTACATGTATATACATATAGTAATCGGACAAACCTTGATACTTCTCCTCTGTTACTGAATTACTGATAAGCTACATTTAGATCATAAGTCATAAGTTTTACCAATAATAGAAAAACATGAAGTAATTTGTGATCTTTGCAGTAGGTTAAGCTGGGTTGCAGGAGAGTATTTATAGCAAATAACACAATGTTTCACATTTACTTTGAATGTCATTTGGAATTGAATACCTCCAGTGTATTTTGCTAATATCATAAAGTGGAAGCTACTTACTAGTAATTTGTCATTGATGGACCAACAAGAAGGGATTATGATTATGTGGGAGGGGTTTCCATGAGTCATCTAGAAAACCAAGTGATTTCTTCAATGTTCACAGTCTGCTTTTAGGACACAATGCACTTCGTCAATTAATATCATGTAGTAATTGTTTGGTTAGGAATCCAGAGAACTGAAAGACTTGCCTATTGTCTTTTGTCCAGATTATCTCTGTAAACATCTTTGCATCTTTGTCCAGTGTGCTGTATTTATATATCTTACCCTTAGCTCCCAAACCTTAGGGTCATTATTAAGTTAACCCTAATACCTCATGTCTTAGCCATGGATACAGCCTCTGGATCAGCACTATAAAATGTTGAATAATATTTTTGGTACATGTATTATGTAATGTGTATTGAAACTTGTTTTTCATCTGTATTTTTTCAGAAAAAGTTGCAATAAAGATCCTAGATAAAACAAAGCTGGACCAAAAGACTCAGCGACTCTTGTCAAGAGAAATCTCCAGTATGGAGCGACTCCACCACCCCAACATTATCCGCTTGTATGAAGTGGTAGAGACCCTGGCTAAACTCCATATAGTGATGGAGTATGCTGGGGGTGGAGAACTCTTCACGAAGATTTCCAATGAGGGTAAATTTCCTGAGTCAGAAGCCAAACACATATTTGCTCAAACGATAGCAGGTGTTCAGCATATGGTATGTTCACTCAAAACTCTTAAAACTCTTTTTTACAATGTAGGTTTAACAATGTATTGTTATTATACCCCCTGCTTGAAAATCTGAGTGGGGGTTGTGGGGGGGTTGTATATAATGATGGGGGTGTCCGTCCTTCCATATGTCTTTTCGTACATCCTTTACACTTGGGGTACCCACCTCTTATCCACAACACCCCCTATACCATTGATTAAAATTTAATGAGACTTTCACAGAATCTTTATTACATAGTGCCATTGTGCACCTTCTATTTTATTTTTCTATTGGGCAGATATTTGAGTTTCCCATATCAAAACCTGGAATTGCCATTCTTTCTATATATTTGGGGTACCCATCTCTTATCTGCAGTGCCTCCTATACCACTGAATAAAATTTGATGAGACTTTCACAGAATTTTTATTACATAGTGCCATTGTTCACCTCTTATTTTATGGTCTGCTTGGACAAATATTTAGGTTTTCCATTGCAAAACATGGACTTTGCTGTATTATACTCATATGGGAGAGGGTTATCATTTTGTGAGCTCAGTGCTCACAGTACCTCAAGCTTAAATTGGAATTATGTATGTTAATTCTTGGAATTTAAAGATTTTTAATGAAAAAGAAATGAATTCAAACTGATATTATTAATGATATGTGAAAATCATTACTTACCCAACAATTACTAGAAAAATTCTTGTTAGTTGGCTGAGTTAGTTAGGACTAACACAAAATGAAATGAAAATTCTTCTTAATTGTCTAAGTTTGTCTGACTAAGGGCTTTTCAGCTCACCTAAGCTGAAAGCTCAAGTGAGCTTTTCTGATCACCCATTGTTCGTCGTCCATCCGTCTAGCTGTCCGTCCGTCCGTAAACTTTCACATTTTCAACTTCTTCTCAAGAACCACTGGGCCAATTTTAACCAAACTTGGTACAAAGCATCATTGGTTTAAGGGGAGTTTAAATTTTTAAAATGAAAGGCCAAGCCCCCTTCAAAGGGGAGATAATCAAGAATAGACAAAAATTGGGTGGGGTCATTAAAAATCTTCTTCTCAAGAACCACTGGGCCAGAAAAGCTGAAACTTATGTGGAAGCATCCTAAGGTAGTGTAGATTCTAAATTGTTCAAGTCATGACCCCTGGGGGTAGGGCGGGGCCACAATAGGGATTAAAAGTTTTACATTGAAATATGTAGAAAAAATCTTTAAAAATCTTCTTCTCAAGAACCACAGGGCCAGAAAAGCTGAAAATATGTAGAAACATCCTGGAGTAGTGTAGATTCTAAATTGTTCAAATCATAACCCCGGAAGGTAGGGCAGGGCCGCAATAGGGAATCCAAGTTTTACATTGAAATGTATAGGAAAAAATCTTTAAAAATCTTCCTCTCAAGAACCACTGGGCCAGAAAAGCTGAAACTTATGTGGAAACATCCTAAGGTAGTGTAGATTCTAAATTGTTCAAATCATGACCCCTGGGGTAGGGCAGGGCCACAATAGGGAATCCAATTTTTATGTTGAAATATGTAGACCACTGGACCAGAAAGGCTGAAACTTATGTGGAAGCATCCTGGGTAGTGTAGATTCTAAATTGTTCAAATCATGACCCCCAGGGGAAGGGTGGGGCCACAATAAGTACTATGGGGGGGGGGGATCAGGTGAAAAACAGCAAGGCCAAAGTTACTCAGGTGAGCATTGTGGCCCATGGGCCTCTTGTTCTTGAAAACCCTAAATTCCAAGAATTAAAGTTATTCCAAATTTAATGATACACTGTAGTTGTATATAGTGTAAAATAAATAAAATCTTATTTATTACCATACTGTTTCCTGGAGGATTTTTCAATAACAATTCAATTGAAATTCCATGACTGCTTGATTATGTTTAATTCAGCGGATTTTAGGATTGGTGAGAAAAAAAAGGATAAAATTACATGCCTACACACAGTGATATGTCCATGACATTTTCTTATCCTGCTAATGGCATTGATATTATTTTTGTCTCAGCATTGGTCCATGTGGGGGGTTTCTTAAACTTCGGTAAATTACTACACAGATGTTAAGGGCAAAGATCTTTGAATAATTTAATTTTGTTTGTATTCTAGCCTCTGATTGGTTAATATCCAAAAAGGAACACAAATTATTTCTGTATAACCTGGTTTGGTTTGGGGACAGACACCCATGACAACCAGCTGAATCATCTGTATCCATACAATCCTCTCATTTCCAGTCCTTGGGATTCATGGAAAATTCCAGATTTAATAAATGTACCTTTAACTTCAAACATTCGATCTTACCACATGTAAACAAACGACAAGGCTGCTAGGCCTATGCATCAGTTTTTACCTCCCCTCGCTTCCCATCACTTCCGTTACTTCCGTTACTACGGTTGTATTATTGAGTGGCAAATTTGAACTAATAAAAAGCAACGAAATTTTACATCCATAGTTATTTAATGATTTTAAAATTAAATTATAAGGAATGACTCTAATTCTTGGCCAAATTATTCAAGTATAACCTGGTTTGGGTCAGTTTACGCTGTTTTATAATCCGCTTCGCGGATTATAAGGGTAAACTGACCCAAACCAGGTTATACTCGAATAATTTGGCCAAGAATTAGAGTCATTCCTAAAACAACTTGTATTTATACTGTAAAGCTAGTGTTGAAGCTTCAGAAGAGTACTATTTTCATTAATTATCATAGTGTTTGAGTCTTGAATCTACACTTGCAAATATTTAAGGAATCATAATGTCTAATTTGTAGGGTATGCCAGGGCATAAACTACAGTTGGAAACATTGGATAATTTGCATAATGGGCAAAAAATGCTTAGAAGACCCGAGCAATCCATTTTAATTTCCATAGTCCCCACTGACACCAGACACTAGGACAGCCATGAGAGATTGACATGCATGTCAGGCACTTGACCTTTCTCTTGGCAAAATTCAATATATTCAGTTGTAAATATCAAGAAGTTAACACACTTAACTTTCAAAGAGTTATCAGAGAGAAAACAGTTATGTTTTGCCCCTTATACAAATTATCCCAGGTTTCCAACTGTCATTAATTTTAATCACCCAACAAACTAGATAGTGATTCCTTAAATAAATGCCAGTCTTCTCCTTAGACATATTCTCAATAGTTTTGAACCAATATATCCTAAAAACATGCAGATTAATACTCTTCTCATGTTGTCATAAAGTCTATATATGAAAAGTGCCTGGGTAAATTTCAACCAAATTTATTGCTTTATATTATATATATATATATGACAATATGTATTGATGACTTTTAATTGCAAAGCAACTATTGATTGAAAAAATCATGTCAAGGTTAAATAGTGGTGTATTATACATGTACACAGTTTGTTGTGATGTAACAAAATTGCACTTTTCAGATCCTCTTTATATTGTTCAAATACAATAATTACCATACAGTTACCTCCCCCAACCAAATTGAACCATCTCCCTAATGCAACAATGAATATTTAATTTCTTAACGACGAGACTAGCTATAACAATTATGTTGAATAAGAGAATTTATTTTGATCGACAAAACTGTAGCTTTTCTTGAACTTTCTCCTTAGTGACTGCACACATATTTTAGTTGTTCATATACAACAGTATATTGATCACAGACAGAATACAAATTTTAAAGTATTTTCACGCCTTCAAATTTCATGAGTAAACAAATATTCCTAAACAAATATATTGTTTGTTGGACCCATAGTCCTTATCAATGTCCAAAGTGTTCTCAAATAATATCAATGTTTGAAGTGGGGCTCAAATTGAAATATTGACGTTTAAAAGGTCTGGCCATTCTACAAAATGGATATTTGTTATTCCTCCCCATCTAGCACTATTATATGGTCTGTTACTAAACAAACTCTGGGTAAATGGAACTCATTTAAGTAAATTTAGATTTCATTAATTTTTTAATAATGACCAAACAATAATAATATCTATTTTAGGAATATTGTTTGATGAAAGGTTACAGGAAAAGACTGACTTGTAGATTGCATGTTTTCATGGAAATTTATTTAGTACACCATGGGCATCAGTTATGTCAACAATAAATAAATAAATTAGTCTTGTTTAAGCACCATCAAAGTCTTATTTGGTATCTCCCAATAAGTTAATTAATAAAAAGATTCAATCGTAAACTTCATTTACCCAATTGCATGGTATAGTGTTGTCTGTAATTAATTCTAATATAATCTGATTCTTCTCAAAAACCATTTATAGCCCATTTAAACCAAATTTGCTTTTGGGCATCCTTGAGAGAGGAGGCTTTAATTTTCAAAAGAAGAATTGAGTTCCTTAATTTGCAAGGGGAGATAATTATATAAAGTTGGGTTGATTGAAGAGTCTCTTTTCTCTAAAAGATGATTCAAACATGACCATCATAAAATAAATTTTATACAGATTAAAACATGGTGTAAACCTAGACCTTATTTATTGTTATAAAGAGCAACTACATGTATGTACTTGTTGATATGAATGTATCATTATAAACCGTCCTGAGATTGGTCATGCTTTGTAGAAAGGGAGATGAATGTAATCTTTGCACCTTGAACATTTGTGAATGAAAAAAGACTGATAATTTAACAATTGTACCATCATGAAAACCAGTTTGGTATACACTGTAAATATACACATGTATTAAATGATACAGATTATTCAAGCTGATTCTGATGATGAACTTTACATATTAATTATTGACCAAAGGATCAGACAAAATTGGATTTCATAATAATTAATACATTACAAGGGATTATGTTGAGGGTGGATCATGTTTAAAAATCCATAATTTAATTACCAGTGTTGCAAATATTACGCATGATGAAGAAATTCAGTATCTCACTTCAAAGACAGCTTATAATTGTCATAAAAACCACACAGCTACAAATCCAATGTAAGACATATAGATTTTCTGATCAAACTTCTCTCTATTAAGAAATGACAACCAATCCTTAGAAACTGATTCAGTTTTAAGAAGTCTATATCATGCGAAGGCAAGTTACCTAGATCCTTGATTTTGTTTCACATGAAGAGCACAATCACCAAGGAAATGGCAGCCCATCTCAAGAAAATGCATGTACAAATAGCAGTATACATGTATAAAACATTAAACTTAAACTGAATGGACATTCATTTACAAATAGCAGTATATAAAACATTAAATTGAATGAGTTCAGAACTATAAGCATTAACCTTGTAACAATTCCATTTTATTGGCTTTATATGTAGAGGAGTCTATTAAAATTTCTTTAAGAGTTCCAAATATTCTTCGGGGATTAAATTAAGTTCATTTCACAGAAAACATTTATCAATGAAATTAAATTCCTGATGATATTTTGATATGGTTATATCAATTTTGTAAGGGGATTTTTGAAACAACTGAATTAAATCCCCAGAAAAATATATTGATCACAAATCATCAAAATTTTATACCCACAAAAATTTCTACCTCTACAACAGTACATAAACAGCAAAATTTAGATATGAATTGATCATTTTTTAATCTTTTTTCCAGCATAAGCACCACATCATACATCGTGATCTCAAGGCAGAAAATGTGTTCTATGCTGGTTCTCGGATGGTGAAGATTGGTGACTTTGGATTCAGCACCCACTGTCGGCCAGACCATACTTTGAACACTTTTTGTGGTTCACCCCCTTACGCGGCCCCTGAACTCTTCAAAGATGAGAGTTATTTTGGCACATATGTAGATATATGGGCTTTAGGAATTATGTTATATTTCATGGTAACAGGAGTAATGCCATTCAGGGCAGATACTGTAGCAAGACTGAAAAAATGCATTCTGGAAGGACAGTACACAATTCCATCTTATGTATCAGATAGCGGACAGTTTCTTATTAGAAGTATTCTTAAACCTGTGCCTCAAGACAGATTCACACTAGCAGAAATTCAAAAAAGTGAATGGTTAGAGGGCCAGGAATTTCCAGTGGAGTTAGAACCATATAATGTTAATCCATCTCAAGATACGTCTAGTCTTTCAAGAGAGGAGAAAGATGCCCGCAGAATTTTGCAAGATTTAGGAATCACAAATGAACATATCCAGTCAGGTCATCGGGACTCTCGAAGCAGCATTACAGGTACATACAGGATAGTTCTACATCGTGTGCAGAAAAAGAAATCCGGTTTGAGTGATTCAGAGAGTGATCTACACGGGTCGGAAAAACCGACCAGTAATGACAAAGCCAAATCTGCTCCCTATATAAAGAAGGAATCCAAAGTGTGCACTATCTTGTGATGTTTCTTATAGGTATAGGAATTACATAAAGTGCTTTGAAACTTTTAAAACTTAGTCTGGACTAAGGATTTAGTTCAAATGGTGCAATTTTTATCTCAATCTTTCACCAGGCGCAGTAATGAAATTGAAGAAGACTGAGAGAGAACTGTAATTGTGATCAGACTGTGTGATTTCTATTTTTTACCAAACTAGGAGCTTTATTTTGAAACAGTTTTACCATTGATTTTTTTTCAAGAAATGTTTTATGGAAAGATTTACATAGGTAGTTTACGAATCTTTGTAAGGAGACACAATTGATTTTTTTTTTAAACCTCTCTCAAGTTCTTAATGTTGGCACAATTAGCATATCTCATTTTCCAGTCCTTACACATTAAGCTTTCACTCAGCGCAATGTTCAAATAATTTTCTTTTTTATTAGCAAAGATAAAAGAACATTACATGTAGTTCCATGTATTTTTCTGTAAAATGAAGAAAAAGAGATATCTGTACATGTATTATCTTAAATGTAAGCCAAATCTGTTTACTATGTACATGTGTTTACCTTGAATTCTAGAAATTGATTTTTCTTTTCTAGTGTATATTTGAATTTCTCCCTCAAACCCTGACCAGAATCTGTTGTGTACATGTATTATTCATACCAAAAATGGAATGTAGCCCAAAATTCATAGATTGATTGGTGTTAAAACAATGGTGTAAGACCTTGTTGGCTCAATGCTAGGCGAGTTTTGTATCTGTCTCCTTTGTTACTTGCAGCATCATGTTTAAATACCTGTCTTTGTTTTCTGATGAAAAAAACAAACAAACAAAACAAACAAACAATGTTTAAACATGTCAATGTATAAGGCTTCTTTTTTTCTCTGTGGGAATTAATTTTCAAGTTTTTTTAATCTGCAAGTTGAAATTGTTCAACGTATTTGGAATGATCATGTTACTGTGTACAACTTGCTATAGTGTAAGGTCTCTAAGGGCGTAAGCTTTACAGTTAATACAAACAATGTTTGAGTTTTTTGTTAGTAATTTAATCAACTTTATAAATCTTGGTCACGCTTACAACATTTTATAGAAGCAAAGATCGTAAAGACTGATAGGGTAGTTTAATTAAGTTTGTTTTAGATGGAATCATACTATTTCATACACCCTACATGATACCATATTATTATGGGGTTATTTATTTTTTGCAATATACATATTGCAGGTGAAACAATTATTTACACAATCTTAAATCATTAAAAAATTATTGGACTATATTTCTGTTCCAGTGTGAATTCATGATCTAAAAATATATACCTCTCTCTGTTGCAAAGTTAGTCATGTTGCCTCGTTAATAATCATGCAAGTTATTGCATATGGCATTGTGTTATATCCATAAATTATGAACAGTACAATGTATAAATGCTTCAAAAAATACTTTCTGAAAAAATAAGACAAATTTATAATTGCTGTTATATAGTAGAAAAATTTTGTTTATCTACTTTTTTTTTTATATAAGTCAATGGTTTTGATGTACTTTATCTTATAACACTTTATATTCAATTTGTTGAATTTCATGTAGAAAATTAGACTTTATATTTATACACAGGTGAAGTTTGCTTTGTATATATATTGATATACAATATCAAAAACATATCATTTAAAAGCTATATTTTATAATAAACAACTGAAGTGTAAAATTACCCCCAGAAAGTTATTTGAGCATGTGATTCTACCATTGTCTAATATAAACTTCCTCTCAATCCATTCCTAAGTAATGGTTCCTCACCTATAAACCGCCCCTCTGTTGACCCGTTGTCTGTATACCCTGTGTACATTACTATTATAATAGCTGTGACTGTGATGTTTGTTACTGTGTCTACACTTCATCATTACTCTTATAGAGAAGTTGTTTCTTTCTATGATGATTATTTTTTGGGAAATAAAATATTTTAAAAAATCAATCTGGATGATTCTTTTTTATGATGATGAACACTGGCTCAGTGTTGAGATTAATGCATTTTGATGCTTTAACAGCTTTTAGTCTTATTGATAGTCTTGGGTACTGTATGGATGCAGAATCAGAATTTTTTTTTTTAATGTTGCTTGTATTAGAATTGGTATTCAGGTCAGTGGAATGTTTCATTATCTGTTCAGTCATATATTTTTGAGTGCAAAAAAAAATTGTAATTGCAAAGAAACATGAGGCCCATGGGTCTCATTGCTCACCTGACACATTTTGGCCTTGATGTTCTTTGTCAGCTTAATATCATGAATATCTTAAATATCATGAAATTTTTTACCATATTTTGGACAAAAACTAGCCCTAAGGGAGCTATGATCTTAGGCATCTTGAATGTTGATATCTCAAATACCATGGATATGTTGAAGTGAGGGGGAAGTTCCAACCACCTTTTCTTTATTTATTTTAATCTCCATATCTCAGATCCTTGGATATCTCAGATTTTTTCTCTGTCCCATTACGTTAAGGATGAAGAGGTTTGACTGTATATTCCACACTGAATCAATCCAAACTGATGATGTAGAGCAGGGAAGGGGTATTTGAAAATAGTAATTGTAATTGACTGTAATTAATTACATCTTTTGAAGTAATTTGTAATTGAACATTTTTTCAATTACTTGTAATTGTAATTTAATTACACTGAAAAATACCATGTAATTTCAATTACTTTTTCAATTACTTTATATAATACACATTCATGATATATCATTACCACTACCTCCTCATTTTACTGGTTTTTATTTTATTGTTAAAACATATCCTCAATCCTTCAATTAAACAAAATCTTAGGTTAATGCTTACAAATAAATAATTAAATGATTGGCTTGATAATAATAAACTAGTTTCTTTCTAATCATTATGTAAATTTTGAATTTTTTGATCTATGTTTATAAATATGAATTTTGAACCACCCTTCTTAGGTCTATTCAGCTATGCAACACACATTTGTTGTACATGTATTTCAATCTTTGTTGTTTGATCAATAATAAAGAAAAGGAAGGTGTGTGTCATTAATTAAGTTAGAGTTCTCTCTTGTTGGAAAGAGATAATTGCCCTCCAGATCACAGCTTTAAATTGCAATCAAAACAAATCAACTCCTCTAAAGAGATATTCATTCCATGATTTAGAAGACAAAGCCAGTGGAGATAATTATCTCAGTTTAAAATGCTCCGCTAGCTTTAGAAAAGAAATACTTTCAATTTGATAATTATTTTAACATCTAAACAGATTTTTATGAATAATTTTTCTATCTGTACAATTCTGATTTATGAAATAAAATTGTTCAACATAAATAGCAATCTGAGATGTTCAGGTTACCTTCAAAGGAAATATTCAATTTAAGGGGTTACAGTTGCGACTCATTTTATTCTATTAAAATACTCACTTTTAATCAAATATCAAAAGCCATGCAATTTGTGTACATATAGGTTTTGTGTGGTGGAAACTGCATCAAACTGATCGCGAATAGTTCTTTAAGAGATTCTTATTGTATTATAAATAAATGTTATAAATTAAACCACATTATGATACACAATGCCTATAGCATATTATTTCTTGTACTGTTTGTGCAGAGGCTTAGCTTATATACAAATAAATGATGTTCTGTATATTCACTGAAAAGGATTATAAAAATTTTCAAAAAAACATAAAAATGTAATTTGTAATTTAACTAATTACTTTTGCAAAGTAATTGTAATTTAATTAATTAATGTCTTAGAAAGCCTGTAATTTAATTGTAATTTAATTGAAGAAAAAGTCAAAGTAATTGTAATTTAATTAATTACTTTTTAAAGTAATTAATTGACCCCATCCCTGATGTAGAGATGTTTGCAATCAATTACAGTAAATAATAAATTATAATAAACAAATATTTACACCAGTAATATTTATTTTAGATACATAATGGTACTATCACTGGTACAAAAATATGTGTGTCAGTTACTTGGGATGACTTTAGTGAACAACATGGATGGATTTGTAGGTCAATATAGAATACCTTACAACATAAATTTACAGTTAACCAACACCAAATCTGGAGCATGCCTTCAATATACTCCAATTCTCCTGGTAAATAACCCTTGTGGAACAACAACACAATTATATCTTATTTTCCTTTTCTCCAAAGATGCACAAAGTAATTGGATCGAAGCAACAAATTTTCCCCTTTGTTTAATTTATAAAAAGAAGTATCTCGTCATCTGCAAAAATAATTTTCTTGCATTAAAGCACACAACATAAGGGAGAAAATTCTTGTTGAGATGACATTAAAAAAATTATGTTCTAAGTATCCTTTAAAAGCATTGGACAGAAACCACAAGGATCTTCACTACTGCGAGTACTAATTAAGGTTTACTATTCTCTGTATTGAAAGCATATCTACGTTTTATCAACAATACAAGTGATATCATAATGTTATTAAAAACTGGATGCCCAACAGTTCAAGTATTGATACTCTCTAAATGCAAATTTAATAAAATACTTTTTTTTTAAATTATCTAAATGTTATGCTAGCACTTGTAAACAATCTTTGCTTGAGGCATTTTTTTGAACATTTTTCCCCCAAAAACTATTCTTTTCAAGCAACAAAAACAACTGAAAATAAAACTTAATTGCAAATGTCTTGATACATGTTAATAAATTCAAAATGCGCATCAGATCTTAAAAGTTTTCATACAATTAAAATTAGAAAATCAATTGTAACACATTTTTTTGACTATAAAAAATTGTGAAATGCAGGAAAAAAATGTGTATATTACTGTTTGAGATATAATAGAAACAATAATGATTAATCTAATTTTTTTTCTTATAAATGTACAAGGCAATATAGTCTTTTTCCTTCAATTTTAATATAAAAAAAAAAATTCAACTCCCTTGTTATATCCTCTTCCATATCAACAGCAACATACTTTCTGAAATGTCAATTTAAACATGCCCTTCTGAAGTTTTTCTTTTCTCTCTATTTAACTGTAGAATCTAAGTTTTATGTTGTCATTTTGGAGGTTCGTTATCACCATCTGAAATTGGAAAAATAAAATGTAATCAAAATTTTGTAGGCAACGATAGAATAAATGTACAAAATCAACAGGAGGAAAGTCTTCTACTGGAAGGCATAAACACATCCTTCATATTATTGCTTATTACATAAACACATCCTTATTATTGCTATGTACTTACAAACTGCACAACCCAACAATTCTTGAGGACTTAACATCTATATTACATTAGAATGGAAGGGAGACAATTAACTTATGAAGCCAAAAACATAAATTGCTTCTATACAGTTTCATCTTTTCCTCCATTTGTAATGAAAATGCAATTTAATAGGATAGAAATGTGATGTTCAATCAATAGGAAACTTGATTAAATAGCTTGTACAATTACTTTGTTGGCCGGGGTTACTTCCTGGAGGAGGCCCTCGACCAAACTGTGATCGTAGCTGTGCCACAAGCTCAGGGTTGGTTTGTTCCATCTGTTGGGCTAATTGCTGACCTCTGAAAATATTTCAAATGTACCGGTAATACATTTTATTATAAATGGTATATTAACATACAGTCAAACCTGTATTAAGCAGTCATCTGCGGGAACCATTAAAAGTGACCTTCATACAGAGGTGAACTCTGCATAGAGGTTCATCTTTTCCAAGAAAAGTCTATTATATTCCAATTTATGTCAGTTCTGTATTTTACATTACTATACATCACAGACTATTAAATAAATACAAAAATCATCAGTGTTCTCACTAAGATTTTTTAAATCTTTAGTCCCAAGATGCATGGTTTTCAAGAAGGTTAATTCTAGCTAAATTAGATGAATCCAAGAAAAATTAAGTTGAGTCTAATATATTATTGTATTATCCTTCTGTCCAAATAATAACAAAATATACATATTATATTGAACATAAATTGATTAAATTAGCATGTGTCCCTTAGGTCTTTTATGTTAGTTATTCATATGATTTATTACCTATCTGAAATTAAAGATTTAATAATGAAGTATAAATTTTATTTAAAAGGAGTTTTGGAAAGAAAGTTTTGTGTAAAAAAAAAAATGGGCTTTTAAAAATTTTCTGCCCCCAATTGGCTTACTGAATGAAGCTTTACTGCACATCTACCTACACGACATCAAAATTTTATTCCAAGAGATGAACTGGCTACTGTTCAAAAAGTAAGGGGATTCTGAAGAAGGAGATAGACTGACAGACAGGCTAACAATGGATGGATCGAGATAACAATATACCCTTTCTTTAGAAAGTGTGGGTATAATTAAATAAGAAAGAGAGAAAAATGTTGAAAGCACCCTTCAAATCAATTACTAAAGCTTTACCAACAAAAACGTAATTAGATAGCTATATGCATCTTTAAAACTATTCACAAGTTACATGCTTATATCATCTTTCAAACTTACATAATCTCTCAAACTACTCACACTTCAAGGATATTTCCCATCCCCCCAGGTGGACTACCCTGCCCCTCTGGCCCCCCTTGACTTCCTGCTCCACCACCTGACATTGATGACATGAAATTGGCCATCCTGAAATTACATATTTGTGTAATTTATTCATTCACATTCATATGTAAACTATTTCTCATAGAGGTACTTCTACGTAAATCAAATAACACTATCTATTTTTGTAGTTTCAAATTGTTCCAATATCTCACATTTGTTGCATGTTTGGGTTCTGCATCATTGACTGCGCCTGAAATAGAATTCCATTAGATGCATTAGGAATCAGCATCCTCAAACATTAACAAAAGTATTTTTATGAAAAGCTATATTCATTGTGATTATGCATTTATAATACTGTAATAACCAACTTTTATTCACGTGCGAGAAATATCCGTGAATTTCGCGACCTACTTTAACTCGCGAATATAAATCGCCGCGAATCATTTATTTTACTTTGCATTTGAAGATAATATTTCCTTAGTCCTGGAAATTAATTGTTGTGGTTCGATTTCAGACTGATGAATCGCATATAAAAGATGACACGAATAATAGTTTGTTTACAGTAACTATAATTACAAATCATTTTAACGCTTCTCATATAGAACCACTACTATGTGTACTTACCATATTCATGAGAGCAGGATTGTTCAACATTTGACCAAAATCCATGTTTCCCATTCCCATAGGACCCATGTTAAATCCAGCCTGCAAGAGAAACACAATGTCTATTAATTCTATCTATCCAGCCATTATATCAAATGAAAATCTCAAGTTACACCTGACTTAAAAAAGTAGCAGGAATACTCTTGGTAAATTAAGAATAGAACACTTTAATATATTTTTTTGGAAAATATCTTATTTGTTTTGTTGACCGTGAATCCTTTGCATGGTGATTTCTTTCCAGATTTTTGAGGTGTTTTACAAAATCAAATTATATTACATGACACTCTGAGATTCCTCTAAAAGTAAACATATAGAGAGGGGCATGTGCACTTTTCTCTCTGATTTATTTTTCTGCTGTTTTCATTGACACTGTCCAAATGAACCCTATTTTCACTTTCTCTTTGTGAGGAAATTTACCTGCATTGCTGCTTCCTTTAACTTTTGCTCTGCTATTTCTAGGTTGTTTTGGTATGACTGGTTAGTTGGGTCTAATTCTAATGCTTTTCTGTAGCATTCTCTAGCACTCTCATGATCCATTAATGCTGTATAAGCAATACTACAATGAAACAAAAGGATTTAAAAATTAGGGATGTCAAAATATTTATTTTCTTAAGTCGAATATTCGATTGCTTTATTCGAACGATAGTCGAATATATTCGAAACTTTTTCCGAAACTAAAATTTTATTTCAAACTTCACTGGTACATCACATATTTAACCCCCAAATCCCCTTTCTTAAAATTTATTAAAGAGTTACATCATATGTTACATACAGATGTTCACATGGACCTAAAATGTGGATAGCGTCTTTTTATTTACTTAAAATAGACAGCTTATTTCTCCAAAATGTATGATTTCCCCGTCAATCATGTTCATAAATCGGTCTGTGAAGTCGGTGTTTTAGGAAGCATAAAAAAAATGACAGTGCAATATATATTTTTTAAAGCTTATCAAAATGAGGGGGGGCACACATGGTGTCTGTGATGATGTTAAATATTTGAATATACTTTTTGTACCAACTATCAAAATGTCTTTAAAATATGTAAAAGAATATTAATTTTATAATAATTATCGTAGTGTCCAAACATGTCACGGCTATAAAGGGTACATGGTTATAAAGAAACAGGGTGACATGCGATAGGGATATTTGTCTAAACTATCAACTTCATCTTCGATTGGATAAGTAAAATTTTCATAATGTATTCCCTTAAATATTTATTATAATGCATTAGTAAAATACAGGTTATTCCAGGTAAATCCCAGACGGAGATCAGACTATAATTGCTATCAAAACATATTTAAGACCTATTGTTCTATACCTAATTATCAAATGTGTGCAAAACGGGAACACACCTGGGTACATGTATGAGATCAAGCCCAATTAATAATTTTACAAAGAAAGCGAGATAATTTTATTACAAAAACAACACATTAATTGACGAATAATTCTCGCAGAAGTGAAGCATTTCTAATCACTGTACTTTCTGCTTGTAAAGTCAGCAGTTTTTAATGAGGAAAATTATCTTATCGACAGTGTCTGAGGAAAGACGGTTTCTCAATTTTAGGAGGAGAATTCCATCTCTTATCACTCTTTTATTGAATTTATTTATTCGAATGTCGTTTCGTTATTCGATCGTCGGTCCTTTCGACTGATGGTCGAATAGTCGATTATTCGTTGACATCCCTATTAAAAATGTATACATGTAAATAATATGTAAAATTTAGCTAAACAATACAAATCTGGGAAACTGATCCGTTTTCATGAAATATTGTAGAAGAAAAGTAACAGATCCTATAGATGATTTCCAATTCATTTCACAAAACATATAGGAAGAGAAAATTTTGTACAAGACAACAAATAGATTTTTTTTCTTAAATATATACAAATATATAATTCACGAGTTTTCAATCAATCCAACATCATATTTATATTTTTTATGTATATATTAGGGATGTCAACGAATATTCGAGTACTCGACTATTGTTCGATCATATCGACTATCGACTAAAATTTCTATAGTCGGCTATTTGTTAAAAATGTCAAACATGTGTTACCTAATAGGAATTTTAAATTAAAGATAATAAACTTGGATCCGCCCATTTAATTTATTTACAGATCAAAGTTCTCGTAAGTAAAACCCAGGGTAAAATTTAACTGTTCAAAGGAAATTATTTATTTGTCGATTTATGTTCGGTAAACATGCCTCCAAAATCTACAGTTTTGGCCTACTTTAAATGATGTCAGGATGAAAAAAAAAATAAAAGTACTTTATCAGGGCTATGTGAAATTGAACTTTTATTCTGCAGTGGAACATCAACTATTACATGTATACATGTATCATAAGCCGAATTCGTCAAACATATCCACAGTCTTCAAGTGAAATTTTCCTAGTAAGTTCTCCGCAAAAATGCCAAGACAGCAGAGCCGAAAGAAAAAGGTTGCTATCACAAATATGAATATCAAGGATTTTCTACCTCTTATTGTTCTAAATGGAGAGGGATTTCAAGAATTGTTTGGATTTGTAGATTCATATTATAAAGTTTCAACCTGCAACTCCATAATATCTGACCTAATTCAACTAATCATACAGAATAATTAAACAGCTGTTACAAAATTATAAATATATGTAAATTGGGGGACAGTTACGAGCGTGATTAAATGGTGTTTCTCTCTTATATTCATATCATACAGTCTTTTTAAAATTGTATTGACTGTTTGCACAAAATCTCATAATTAAAATTTATCGCAAGCTCTCTCTGCTTTTATAAGAACTAGAGTTAATTGTTTACCGGTCACAGGTCACTGACACGACAGAAATGGCTTCAATTAACGGGTACGTGTACTAGCGTTATGAAAAGAAAGGACAAATGCGAGCGTTTGATATCCTGCATTTAGATATTAAATGTGCAGTAAATATTATATTTGAAATCAAATACTTTGGATACATGTGTATTTATTGTACTACGTAAATGTTTACGAATAAGAAATTCGTTGTATAATGGTGATAGCGTAGATCAAACATTCCACAACTAGTCCATAAAAAGACAAATAGTGAAAATGGCATGAAAAATTAATTTCAATTTCAACAAATATTCGACTATCGTTCGACTAAAGCCTCCGACTATTCGACTAAGCTATCCGAATAAAATTGACATCCCTAGTATATATATATTTAAACAAATCTGGTAAATATCATTAATTGGTCACACAAGAAATGTAAATATGATAATACATAAAATTTATGACAAATTTGAAAAATTTCAAAAATCAAAAATGAAACAATACAAATAAATACCTTACCCCATTCTACCATATGCTTTAGAATACTGAGGATCAATGTTCAAAGCTCGTTCACAATCTTCGATAGCTTGTATGTTTTTATTCAGCTTACTATAAGCCGCTGCCCTGTAGAAGATTGAAGGTAATGAGAAAATATTTTATCATTCAATGGACTTAAAACTACAGATTTCACTGTCTATATGATTTCACAGAATTGCCTTTATGATTTAATGGCATTACTTCTAGTCATTGAAGATTTCTTTACAGAAATAGGCATATCAATGGGGGATGAATTGGTCTGACTTCATTTCATTTTAATAAATTTTGATGTTTTCCTTACCTGTTACAGTAATAAACTGAATTTTTATTATCAAGTTTTATTGCCTGTGAATAGCATTCTAAAGCATCTGAAAATTTCTCTTCCTTCATGAAATTATTTCCTGTGAAACAAAATAAACTATGTGTATCAACAATAATTTAAATGATTTAAACAATTTATTGAATTCTTCATGATTTTCTGTGAGAAACATTAATGGTTAGCATAACAAGAGGCCCATGGACCACATCGCTCACCTGAGCACATTGGCTAGGCAAAAGCACAAATCAGTTCAGTATTGAAAAGATTACCAGGGGGGCTTGAATTTTAAACTACCTAATGATGCTTCCATGTCAATATAACAAATGGCTTTGTTTGTTGTACTTCAAAAGATTTTTTAAAACAAATTTCCCATTTATTCCTTTGTAAAAATTTGATCCCCATTGTGGCTCCTCCCTATCAAAGGGGTCATCATTTGAACAGTTCCATTTGAACAAACTTGAATCTACACTACCTTAGGATGCTTCCATATCAAAATGACGAAATATAGCTTTTCTGTTCTTGAGAAGAAATATTTTTTCTGTATGTTCTTATGTAAAACTTTTGATCCCCCATTGGCCCCCCCTACCCCTGATGGGGTCATCATTTGAACAAAATTGAATTTACACTATCTGAGGATGCTTCCATATCAAAATGACTAAACATGATTTTCAGTTCTTGAGAAGAAGATATTTTCCTATATGTTCCTATGTAAAATTTACGATCTCCCATTGTGGCCCCACCCTATCCCCGAGGGTCATTATTTTCACAAACTTAAATCTACACTACCTGGGATGCTTCCATATCAAAATGACTAATCATGGCTTTGCAGTTCTTCATTAAAAGATATTTTCCTATTTATTTCTATTTAAGACTTTGATCCTCCATTGTGGCCCCGCCCTACCCCGGGGAGTCATCATTTGAACAAACTAGAATCTACACATTTGAGAATGCTTCCATATAAATATGATCAATCAGGGCTTTGCTGTTCTTGAGAAAAAGATTTTTAAAGGTTTTTCCTGTATATTTCTATGTGAAACTTTGATCCTCCATTGTGGCCCCATCCTACCCCGGGGGTCATGATTTGAATAAACTTGAATCTACACTACCTGAGAATGCTTCCATATAAATATGATCCATCAGGGCTTTGCTGTTCCTGAGAAGAAGATTTTTAAAGATTTTTCCTATATATTTCTATGTGAAACTTTGATCCTCCATTGTGGCCCCGCCTTACCCCCAGGGATCATGATTTTAACAAACTTGAATCCACACTACCTGAGGATGCTTCCATATAAATATGACTCATCATGGCTTTGCTCTTCTTGAGAAGATTTTTAAAGGTTTTTCCTATAAATTTCTAGGTAAAAGTTTGATCCTCCATTGTGGCCCTGCCCTACCCCCAGGGGGTAATGATTTTAACAAATTTGAATCTACACTACCTGAGGATGCTTCCATATAAATATGACTCATCATGGCTTTGATGTTCTTGAGAAGAAGATTTTTAAATGTTTTTCCTTTATATTTCTATGTAAAACTTTGATCCTCCATTGTTGCCCCGCCCTACCCCCAGGGGTCATGATTTGAACAAACTTGAATCTACACTACCTGAGGATGCTTCCACATGAGTTTCATCTTTCCTGGCCCTGTGGTTCTTGAGAAGAAGATTTTTAAAATATGCTACTAATTTTTCTCTAATTCTTTATTATCTCCCCTTGAAAGAGGGCGTGGCCCTTCATTTGAATAAACTTGAATCCCCTTCACGCAAGGCTGCTTTGTGGCGAGTTTAGATGAAATTGGCCCAGTGGAGAAGAGAAGAAGTCGAAAATGTGAAAAGTTTACAGACAGACAGACGGACTACAGACAAAATGTGATCAGAAAAGCTCACTTGAGCTTTCAGCTCATTTAAATCCAATGCTAAATGAGCCCTTTAAAGATAACTGATTTCATATATTATACAAATACATATTCATGCAATTATATTATAAAAATCCACCAAAGTATTTAACAAGTGCACAGCTATCAATATCAAATAATTTTTCCCCTTTACAATGTATACATATTGACCTTCATTCTTTAACTTTTCAGCTTGCTCCTTCTCTTCTGGAGTAGGTTCATGTAGTGAGAGAGTGGAAAATTCTGATTCAGGCTGTAATACAAAAAGATTTTATTATAGTGCAACACATTGAACACATATTTGTTTTTTCCATTGCATTTACAAACCAAACTGTTGGTACAATGCAGTGAATACTTTTTGATTACCTGGAGAAAGTAACAGTTACTAACCTCTGAGCTTATTTGTGAATTGAAAATGTCTAGAAGATTCCTCTGTACTTGATATTTAGCAATATGTGACTCATCCTGGGTGTCAATATTGTAGGCCGACTCCAAACACTGGATAGCAACTACAAACCAAAACAAAATTAACATTACAATATATCAATGTAAGAATGCAGTAAAAAAAATTTAATAAATAAACTGTTTGTTTTTGGTTACGACTTGGTTTAATGACAATGAACCTAACACTCTGCTAGGTAGAGTCTATCTGCATGATAAAAATAGAATTCAAAATTCTGTTTGGGTATACTTAGTTTTAATTAAATTATTTTCAGAGTTCCAGTTACATTTTCCCAACTTATGCAACTAAGAGGTCTTAAAAGGTATGTCAGGTTTGAATCTTGAGGACAAAAACTTAAATTAAAAAAAGTAAATTGTAGAGCATTTGGCCAGACTGATTGCCAGGAGATTGCAGACTACTCAATACCTTGATCATCAGCAGTAAAGATATAAGGTCAGTTGTTTGATTCTCATGGGATTCCCATTTTTTTCTTTTTTAAAAACTAGCTAAATTAAGAAAACTATATTCCTCTTGGGAATAATGCCTTTGTTTTCATTGATTCATTTAGTATGAATTTGTGCATACAAATTGTTCAGTTGATAAATACATATAGCTCCTAATTTGAATGTATGGAAAATGCCAAAATAAATATTGGTTTACAAGGTTGGTTTTGCTTTTTCGGCAAACCCCCCAACTCTGTCACTACCCTTCGTCTGTCACTTTCAGGAAATTCTGCATTGTTTGTAAATGAACGCATGTTGAAAATCAGCAGTCAAATGTTGGGATATTATAACAGTTAAGTTAAAGAATGTGTCAAAAACATTAATTATTACACTTAATCTTTTGCATCTATCATATTTTACATGAAATCAGTTAGCACTCTTGTCTTCATGCGCTATTCCATGGATATCTCCTACATGTACGTCAACATGCTCATTTCACGTCAGCCTATGTCAACATGCTCATTTCATGTCAGCCGTATGTCAACATGCTCATTTCACATGTCAGCTATATGTCAACATGCTCATTTCACACGTCAGCCGTATGTCAACATGCTCATTTCATGTCAGCCGTATGTCAACATGCTCATTTCACATGTCAGCCATATGTCAACATGCTCATTTCACACGTCAGCCGTATGTCAACATGCTCATTTCACATGTCAGCCATATGTCAACATGCTCATTTCACATGTCAGCCTCATGTCAACATGCTCATTTCACACGTCAGCCTCATGTCAACATGCTCATTTCACATGTCAGCCATATGTCAACATGCTCATTTCACACGTCAGCCATATGTCAACATGCTCATTTCACATGTCAGCCATATGTCAACATGCTCATTTCACTTGTCAGCCATTTTTATGAACTTCAGTCTTTATCAAAGTTTCACATAGCATATCATGTTGAATATGGCTAAAAATGTTTTATTTTTTGCTAACATTTGCCGTAATGCACTACATGCTGGAGATAACAGTGCAGCATTATTAATATTAAATACATTATATTAACATTATTTTTTTCTATTGTTGATAGTTTTCTTCAAACACAATTCAATACTATTTTAAATCTTAAATCTATTTTTTTTTATGTATACAAATTAAATAAAAAAAAAAAGACCAAAAAACTAAACTATGAAAAAAAACTGTATTTAATATGTTGGCATATTGTAGAGGGCCCTGGTCACAGAGTTAGCTAGGGTTCATTGGACGTAATGTACACGGATGTGATACATGTTCTATTTAGTGGCAAGGTTGTCCCCAAGACCTGGGGGCAGGAGAATTACCCTGCCTATTATGACAAAATCCCCAAGTTATTCTGGTATTCCCCAACCCCATGTTAGGGAAGGAGCCTCAGACCCCCTTCTACTTTTTTAATGTCCCCTAGCTGTTATTTCAATTCTTTGGGACAACCCTGAGTAGTGTTATATAAGCCAATTAACTGCACTTTTTTTGTTAATTATACTAAAAACGATGTTTAAGCTCATTACTAAGTGTAACGACTAAGAAACAAATCAAAAAACAATTCGGAGAGTAACACAGGCTGTTTTCTGCTTATGGTGACCGTGATGGAGTTTGGGTACTAGGGGATACTTCTAGACATGACAATATTCCATTAAGAACATTAAAAGCATGAGTAATAAATAACTTTATTCCTTTTGTACTATACACTGGCTAATTGTTAAATATTGCATGCTTTACAGATAACTCTTACCTTCTAGGCTCTCTATAGAATCTTCTGATAAATTTTCCTGTGTTGTTTGGTCCTTTAAAAATTTTACAATGGAAAACACCAATTTATTCACATCTGCCATGTTCTTTACCTGCAAAAGGACATCAATTCAGACATGTATGATCAGGTAGCTGCCAGGCATGATTTTATATTTCTTGCAATGCAGCAGTTTGCAGCTGGTTTGAATCTGAAGTCATTTTACTATTTTTTTTTTTCGGGATAGTTTCATATAACTCATGGTTGTAACGAACTCTCTTACAAGAAATTATGTTGACAGTGTAAAAATGGAGGTATTTAAATGATCAATGCCCTGCTTAGACGAAATTCGGGCTAACATCAGATGTAACTTCATTAGGTATGTGTCATTCATATTTTTAATAAAATTCTTCTTGTTTTACGAATCATTTGGTATTTGCTTGAATGATGATTTATATTTTTACATTTTTATACTGTAAAAATACATGTTCTGACAGTTCAGTACAAAAATTCAGTGTAAAATAAATACTACCTAGCACTCATTCACAGCAGATAGTCAAACCGGAAGTTGTCTGTTTTACATGTGTACTTCGCAAATTAGGGTAAAAGTAGAATCTACAATAAAAATATATTTACACAAGGCATACTAGTATAGGTCTCTGTATAGACATAAATCTTCAAAACAATTGATATACAGTATAGAATTTGTATTTTCATGGAATCGTGTACAATTATAAATGCATAATTATAAATATTGATTTTAAATTGATTTTAAATAGTCTGCCCCTAGTTACATCTTTAAAAAAAACAGCAAAAGAGTTGGTGGTATTCAACCCCTTCTCTTTTTGATATTAAAAACAAATTTCTCTTGATATTTCTTTTTAATATAAATGGTATATATATAAGTATTTAACATACGACAGCGATTCTGCATACGGCAAAAGCAGAGATTTCAAAATCGGGATCGAGATACAAAAGCTACGTGCTCGTTGAGTAATCTTGAAGTGTAAAAGGATCCTGCGGATTTCTTCAAGTTCTTGCAATTTGGCGTATCCAAGAAGGAAGCAAAAATAACAGGTAAACTATTGTCAGAAAGTAAATAATGAAATTATTACATATGTTTCATTGAAAAAAAAAGTGCAGAGTGATTCTTAGAATGCTGTACAGTGTTGTAGTTTATAAAGCAGACGATCAGATGGTGATAAGAAACTGCATACGAGGTGGAGGAAAATGTTGTTTAAAAAATCCTAAATTTTAAACATTATACGAGCATTTGTTAATCCTGTCCATGCCCTTGTGGATGTATGAAGCCAACTGCACTAATGGTAGGCAATATTCAAGCAAAACTTAATATAATTATCATTGGTTCACTTTGTCTGTCATAGACGTTGTTATAGATATGATTATCTTTGTCCCTCACTTTCACTGGAAGCTGGGGATATTAATTAGGGTATGCCTGTCCTTCCACCCATCTGTATTTCTGTCTGTCTGTGACACTTTTGTTTCCATGCCATATCTCAAGAAGCCTTTCGCAATGAAATTTTACATAACTCCCTATGGCCTAAAGAAGACCCCTATTGATTTGGAGGTCAAAAGGTCAAGGTCATAAATTCATACATTCTGTATGTTTTAACACTTTCATTTCTGCGTGATATCTCGAGAAGCCTTTGACCTTTTGCAATGAAATTTTACATAACAACTCCTTGTGACCTAAGGAAAACCTTTATTTATTTTGATATCAAAAGGTCAAGGTTGTACATAGATACATTCTGTCCGTGTGTAACACCTTCGTTTCTGGGCAATATCTCAAGAAGCTTCTGAGCTTTTGCAATGAAATTTTATACCATAACTCACTATGGCCCCTCCCACCCCTCTCAAAGTGTTCCACCCCAATTTTTTTTTTTTCAAAAGTCAATTGGAAATTGTTGGCATAGATCACACTCAAAGTTTTAGAGTTACTCCCTGTTTGTAGTACAGGAACATGTTTATGTGACCTGCTTCTGCATTTGATTTGTATAACTATCAAGCATCTCATTGGTCTAGGGGTTTGATTCTTGCTTTGGATGCAAGAGGTAGTGGGTTCAAATCCTTGACAAACCACTGTTTTGTAGCTGTACTGATCAGAGACCAGAAGAGCTTATGCGCTAGTAAGGTGTCTGTCTTCCGTCTGTCTGTAATTTATTTTACAAAAGGCTACTCCTCCTACAGTTTTGGTCTGATTTCAATATAACTTGGCACACAAGGAGTTTACACTAACATACATAATTTAATGCATTGGTTTTTGATTTCAATGAATGGTGTTGCTATGGTTACTAAAAAGAGAAATATTTGTTAAATTCCTTTAAAATGCTACTTCTCCTACAGTTTTGGTCTGATTTCAATATAACTTGGCACACAAGTAGACTGCATTATGATACATAATTTAGTGCATCAGTTTTTGATTTTGATGAACGGTGTTGCCATGGTTACTTACAATGAAATATCTGTGAAATTCATTAAAACGCTACTCCTCCTACAGTTTTGGTCTGATTTCAATATAACTTGACACACTAGTAAATTACACTAAGATACATAATTTAGTGCACCGGTTTCTGATTTCAATGAATGGTGTTGCCATGGTTACTAAAAATAGAAATATCTGTGAAATTCCTTTAAAATGCTATTCCTCCTACAGTTTTGGTATGATTTCAATATAACTTAGCACACAAGTAGACTACACTACGATACATAATTTAGTGCATCGGTTTTTAATTTCAATGAACAGTGTTGCCATGGTTACTAAAAATGGAAATTTCTGTGAAATTCTTTTAAAACACTACTCCTACAGTTTTGGTCTGATTTCAATATAACTTGGCACATAAGTAGAGAATAACTTGTGGAGAGATTTATGGAAGCTCACATTTAAACCAGAAGTTTCTTGTAACTTGATATGCTTTGACTTGAATTATGGTCAACTGAACAAGGTCACAATGATTAGAAGTGCAAAATAATCCTGCTCTGACAATTTTTTTAAATAGCTTAAATTTGTTTATGAACAGAAGAGGACTAAATTAAAGTGATTAAAGTAACTGGAAAACACAATATAACAATATTGTCTGAGATGCTTGATTTTAAAAAAACTTTTAAAGTGACACAAAATACTAACTTGAAATGTAGAGGGTGTTTGAGAATCTTGAAGCAAGGGCATTTGAATAAAAGAAACATGCAAAATTTTGCAGGAGTGTCTGTATTTTATTCCATTTCATTGTTATATGAAACACATGCAGAACTTCATATTTTAGTGAAAGTAAAAGAACATATTATTTCCATTGCTGCAATAATCGGACTAGTAGTAAGGTGAATAACAAAGAGTTATCTTTCATTACTCATTTAGAGGACTTTTATGCAAAAGGGATCTTGTCCTAATCCTTTTTTCCTTTCAAATTTTTTTAAAATTAATATTTTATAATTTATTTGAAATTAGAAAATAAGTTTCAAAAGAATATACATGTATGTTTATGATAAAAATGTAGGTTCCATTACCAGTTTGAGTTTTAAGTAACTGTTTTTCTCAGTTCTCAAGAGACAAGTCAGTAGACACTAGGGTAATGTTGAGTGTCTCTTAAAAATAATAATTAAAGAAAGGAACGAGTTTGAAAAAAGAAGGTTACTAAAGAGCATGCTTATGGGACCTGTTTCTCCCATTCCTGTACATTTTAGCTTGAAATTAATAGCCAATCAGTATCATCCTAAATGTTTCATAACATTATATTAACATTTCCAAATATTTTCCCTTAGGCCAAATAAAAAAATATGTGTGGTTCCGGTTACCCGACCTTCCCTTTTTTATACCCCCGACCCTAAACTTTTTTTGGCAATTTTCATATTCTTTCCGGAATTTTCCCCGATTTTCATCAATGGCTCCGGTTTAAGTTTTAGTTTCAGCAATGACGGCCTCCTTGCAAAACATAGTGCAAGTGTTTAATAGTATTAAGTCCAAAGCAAGCTAGCATGTAGGTGTCCCCTACCAATATTGACTAGTATATTATAACATCACATCTAAATGCCATTTGCAAAGCAGTGATAGGTATTCTTTAGAAAAATTAAGAAAATCATTTTGTTAAAAAAAAAAAAAAAAAAAAAATCTCTACCTACCTACCTTAATTTTTTTGGAAGTGTAACCGGAACCACACATATTTTTTTGTTTGGCCTTAGGATTCTTTGCAAATTAGAAAACAGTTCCTTTTCTCATGAACTACTATGGATGAGGAAGAATATATAATCTCCACAGTGTTAATATCTTACTTGATATAAAAACTATAATGCATACCCTTTTGTTTCAAAAATGATCTTTGAATGACATAGATTTGTGGCAAGTCATTTAACAAATAATGTAAGATATGAATTTAATATTTGAGATTTCATAAGATACATGAACTACGATGCCTCACGCCTGCATATTTATCTTGAAGCGCTGATGTGCTTCGTGAAATATGTTGGCAAGAAGTGTCGTAGTTTATGTCCTCATGAATTCTCAAAAATTAAATTGATTTCTTAAATATGGCCTTTGACTTAGCATAAGAAGGAGTTTTCTTGCTTACCTTTTTTGGTCAAAGTATGAATGATGCAACTCAGGTGAGCAACGTCACCAATGAGCTTTATGTTTGACCAAAACATTCATCAGTATGGCATCTTACCTTTTTTATCTGATCAAGACAAAGTCAAGTTGAGCTTAAGCTTTTACCCCTGTTGTCGGTTTCCAGGATAAAGTTTTAGGAGGAAGTCTGTTCCCAAGTAACTATAAGCCCTATCTAGACCAAACTTGAATGGATGATGCATCTAGGGATGCACACTATCAGACTTGCTCTGGATGCTGGGTCTGACCTAGATTTTCCAGATGAGTGAAAGGTTTAAGCTTTTGGAGTTTTTATCCATTCTTAAGTAACTATAAGCTCTAACTGGACAAAAATTGCTTAGATGGTGCATCTAGGGATGGACACTAGTACCAGACTTGTTTTGGATGCTGGATCTGACCTATATTTTCTAGATGAGTGACCAAGTTAAAGTTTTTGGAGCAGGTCCATTCCTGAGTAACTATCTAGACCAAACTTGCATGGATGATGCATTTTGGGATGTACACTATTAGGCTTGCTCTTGATGCTTGATCTGACCTACATTTTCCAGATGAATGAACAGGTTTAAGTTTTTGGAGAAAGTCCATTTCCAAGTAACTATAGTGTATGGGACTTACCTATACCAAATTTGCATGGATGATGCTTCTAGGGATGACACCTGCTTCGGATACTGGATCTGACCTACATTTTCAAGATGAGTAACTATTAGCCCTACATCTACCAAACTTGCATGGATGATGCATCTAGGGATGTACACTACCTGACCTGCTTCAGATACTGGATCTGACCTACATTTGCAAGATGAATAACTATTAGCCCTACCTCTACCAAACTTGAATGAATGATGCATCTAGGGATGCATACTACCAGGCTTGCTCTTGATGCTGGATCTTACTTACATTTTTCTGATTAGTGGACAGCTTTAAGTTTTTGGAGGAAGTCCATTCTCAAGTAACCATAAGTCTGACTTATACC